AGGGCGACGCGCTGGAGGACGAGGTCAACGCCGAGCCGGCCTCCGGTGAGCACGCCGCGCCCGACGCTCGCCAGCGCCTCGTTGACGAACTGCGCGCCCGGGAGGCCCGGCAGGAGCAGCGCGGCCGCAGGGCCGGGGCCAACAGCGAGCGGAAACTCGTGGAGCGCACCCGCAAGCGAACGCCGGCCGATCCAGCGGCGGCGGCGACCCCAGGGCCAGCGACAGCGGAGGCGACGCCTGGGCTGGCGGCGGCAGCGGCGGGGGCCGACAACGAGCAGGGGCTCGAGGAGCGCGCCCGCAGGCGGCCGCCGGCTGAGCCAGTGGCGGAAGCAGCGACGCCCAGGCCAGCGGCGGCGGCAGCGACGCCCGGGTCAGCGACGGCGGCGGCGGCGGCGACGCCCGGGCCAGCGGCGGCGGCGGCGGCGCCGCGACGCAGGGCGCGTCGACCGAGCTGGCGGCGTCGGCGGCGACCCCGAGCGCGGCGGAGATCCCGATCCCCGCGCCCCGGGAGCGCGCTCGCAAGCGGCCGCGGTAGGTTGTCGCCAGGGAGTTGGCCTTCACCGAGTGCATCCGCGAGGCCTGAGAAGCGGCCCGCCCAGGCCTCGCCTTCTGTCGACTGCTCCATTGTTTGGCTTCGCGCCGCGGACGACCCGCGCGCGTCGCTGGGACCCTCTCGGGGCGACCAGCGCGCGTCGCGGGAACTTCGTGCTGCGCTCAGCCCAGCGCCTCGCTCGCCCGTCATCGCTCGGCCTAGCGGCCGGAGCCCTTGCCGCTATCAGCCAGCCAGCTAGCTCTCTGTGCCCCGCGCAGCGGACGACCCGCGCGCGTCGCTGGGACCCCGTCGGGGCGACCGGCGCGCGTCGCGGGGACTCCGTGCTGCGCTGCGCCCGCAGCCCTGGACATTGGAGTGCACGGGCAAAGAGGGAGAAAAAGAAAGGAAGGAAGCGGGCGCGATCCCCGTGAGGGGCATTCCGAAATGGGCGTCGCAGCGCGCGGCGCTGCAATCGGGGTTTTCGGTGGAGCTCCCTGCGGCGGCCACGCTCAGTGTCACGAGTACTCAGTGTCTGGAAGGGCGTCACTATCGCAAATTTTCAAATCGTCGTTGTCCGCGTATTTTGCGTCAGAGTGGAAAAGCGTCCTTGAGCTCGGCACTATCGCAGATTTTCAACGACGTCACGGATTTCCCATATTCTTTCTCATTGTCCGATTACTCCGTCCTGTGATCTGGCTTTCGCGTCTGTGTTGGTACTATCCCACACGTTCAAAAACGTGGCTCGCCTCGCAATTTCGTTTCCCAGGTCGGCCCACCCTGTCTTCTGTTTGTTATATGTGCGTTGTTACCGACCACCTCTATGTCGTAAATGCGGTTCCCAGTGTCGGTTTGTTTTGTATTGTACCCCGCCTTGCCCGCTTTCCCGTCTGCGCGCCAGCGCGCGTGGTGTGTCAAAACAAAATCCACTTGGGGAAAAATCCGCGCGCTGAGGTTTTGACGCGGACGTTCTATTGATTTGTTTCGAACTCATTGCGAAAACGTTGCCGGGACACCTCCAGGATTTTGACCATAAAATCCTGGATGTCTCCTGCTTTTCACCGGGTTTCTATGGCGACGTGAAAAAACGCCGCGCATGCGACTTGCGCAATTGCTTCGATCCATAGGACGTCAGCTTGAATGTCGCGGCGACGCGTCGCATGACAAAAATTAAGGCCCCCGAAACTACACCCCAGCACGCCTGAGTGGAACTCAACATGTCTTAACCGATGGCTCGTTACTCTGAAAGCAGCGGGCCTCGCGTGCGCCAGGTGCGCCAAGTGTTCGGGTGCGCCAGCACGCATCGTGCAGCTGTTGCAACTTTCCTGCGTTATCCTCTGCTTCCTCCTGTTCCTCTTCCTCCTCTTTCTCCTTCCTCCTCCTCCTCGTCCTGCTCTTCCTCGTCCTGCTGCTCTCGCGCACGGCGCCCTGGCATGACGGCGCGTGAGTCGCCCGGGGGATGGGGGGAGGAGGAGGAGGAGAGGGAATGAGGACGAAAATGAAGAGGGGACGGACGAGGGGGTGGAGGAGGAGGAAGATGAAGATGAAGAGGGGCCCCGGTGATGATATTATCGAAGACGCCTACGGCGAATCGCCGCCGCCCCTGCTTTTGTGGGAAGCGCCTTTGTGGCCAAACGTTGGACCCCAGCTTGGCCAAGCTGTCGGACTATGTATTCCCCCTGACGTTCCAGAAGATTTTCGGGGAACACCTGGGGAGGATCAGGAGAGGTAGGGGAAGGAGGAGGAAAAGGAGGGGGAGGCCTCTTGGGAGCCTCTTGTGGCACTCAAGGGGCCTCTTGGGAGCTTCCTGGGGACCTCTTGGAGGCTTTTTCGGGGCCTCCTTGATCCTTTTGTTAGTTTTTTGGGGCTTCTTGGGGGCTTCTTTGGCCGTCTTAGGGTGTTCCTGGCCCCTCTGACGTCGTCGGGCGCCGTCTTGGGGGCCTCTCTGGGCTGTCCTGGGGCCCTTTTAGCGCGCTTCATGGCCGTCTTGGAGGCCGTTTTGGGCGTCTTAGGCCTATTGGGCCGTCTTGGGGCGCTCTTGGGGCCATCTTGGGGGCCCCTTGGGCCGTTATAGGGTTATCTTGGAGGCCTCTTGGGCGATCTTGGGGGCCTCTTGGGCCGTCTTGGGCTGTAGGAAGGCGAACAGAAGCAAAGGCCAAATCTTCAAAAACCTTAGGAAAACCAATGATGTTGGCCTCTTCGGGCCCTCCTGGAGGACGTCTTGGAGGCCTCTTGGGGGCCTCTTGGCCCGTCTTGGGTCATCTTGGAGGCATCTTCGGCGGACTCGGAGGCATCTTGGATCCTCTCGGGCCGTCTTGGAGGCCATCTTGGACGCTCTTGGGCCGTCTTGGAGGCCATGTTTGACCATCTTGGGCAAACTTGAAAGCCATCTTGGCCATCTTGGAGGCCAGCTTGGGCTATCTTGGAGCCATCAGGAGCAGAAAAAACCTTTGCAACCGGATCTTATGGTCCCTTGTGCAGCCTTCCGGGTGGCCAGCGCGCTGGGCCGGAGCCCCAGGGGGAGTTCTATTGGAAAAGAACAAAAACCCAAACCGTAAGGAATTTAGCACGCCAGGCATCCCTGTGATGATCAACAGGGGGCGGCGGATCCTAATGGCCTTCGGCCCATCCCGCCGCCGTGCCTGGATTGTGGGTCAGGGTCCTGATGGATGTTTCTTGAGGCTTTTGCGGAAGGCTCTCGGTGGCCTATGGGGGGGGGTATTTGAGGCCTCTTGGACTCTTGGGAGCCTTTTGGTGGCCTCTTGGGGGCTTCGTGGAGGCCTGTCGGGAATTCCTGGCGGCCTCTTGTGAGCCTCATGGGGCGTGTCGGGAGCCTGATAAGGGGTTTCTGGGGGCCGAGAGCTCCCAATGCCGGTTCGGGTTCCTCTCTGGGGCCCCTCTTAGAGGCGTTATTGGGGCCCGCTTGGGCTGCTTTGGAGGCCTCTTAGGGCCCTTGTGGGCCGTCTCGGCGCGCTCTTGGGGGCCACTTCATGGGCCGTGGACAGAGGACTACCAGGGGCCTGAGGACACGCCAACTCGTGCCTCGCGGCACGGTGGCGGATGATTACGGGTTTCAGTGTCCATGCTCGTCGGCTCTCTGCAGCTGTCCGCGAGCTCTCGGTGCAGGATGCCGACGCAAGTGTTGCCGAGATCCTTGCCTCTACGATTATGGAGGCTTCAGACGCTATCAGCATTCGCTTCACATTTCTATGTCTGCTGCTGTCTGGAGCGGTACGTCAGTTGTCACAGCTGCTCCAACGATGACCCGGGGAGGAGAAGGATACTGAGGGGAGGAGGAGGAGGAGGAGGAGGCGGAGGAGGAGGAGGAGGAGGAGGAGGAGGAGGAGGAAGAGGAGGAGAAGAAGAGGAGCAGCAGCAGCGGGAGGAGGATATCGGCCATGGGGGCCATTCGAAACGAAAATTCTTGACGCTTCGCGTATCCCCACCAGCCCATCCAGAAACATGGGAGGCTGTCTTGAGGCCTCTTGGAGACTATCTGGAGCCATGCTCGGCCAGAGGCTGTCGGAGGCCGTATTAAGCCATGCTCGGCTATCTTGGGCCCATCTTGAGGCTGTCCTGAGGCCTCTTGGAGGTCTGGCGGAGGCTATCTTTAGCCATGCTCGGCTGGTTTGGGCAATTTTGAAAGCCATCTTAGGCGATCTAGGGCCCTCGTGGAGCCATCTTTGGCCAAAAAGGAAGGGGGTTGAGGGCGGGGTAGAGGGTGGGGTGAAGGGGGGGGGCTCTTAGAGCCCTCTTGGGGCTCTTTTTGTGGTTCTTGGGGCCCTCTTGGGGCTCATTGGGGAGATCTGGGAGGTCTCTTCTGGCTGTCTTGGAGGCCACACCTCTGCCAGCGCGCGTTGCGGCTCAAGCTGGCGCCGTTGGCCCGCGGGTGCGCGCCGGGCGAAGCCCGCAACGGACAACCCCCGTTCGTTGCCCGAACTCCCCGCCCAGGACGACGGGCGCGAGTCGGGGGGATTCCGGGCGGCGCGGCCCCTGCGGCGCCGCACAGATGCCCCCGAAGGGCAGCGGGGTCCAATACAGAGTCAGGGTTGTTGAGAAACCGCGAGCAGCGGGTTCGAAATTCCAAGTCTGTCTGATATCGAAGAATGGATCATACTTGCATGGGCCTTTGCGGGACACCAAGGACGCGGCCACGGCGGATCGGAGGCGAATCGAGCGCGCCCCAGATCGGCACGCGGAGCTCTTTCGCCTGAAACAAGAGCCCGCGTGGGTCCAGGGGGAGGGCCCGCAGACGCCGCAGCGACAGCGAGAGGGCCCATCTCGGCGCAGGATGACGGGGAAGCGTGCTGCGTCGCCGCGCTCCCTCCCGACGCCGGGAGCCCCTTTGAAGCCAGGTCAGCAGACGCCGGGGTCCTCTGCTGCGGGCGCGCGCGGCCGGGGGACCCCCATGTCGGCGCGCAGCCGTGGGCCGACTCCCTGGGCGGCAGGAGGCCGACAGGATCGAGATGCAATGGCGTTCCGCGAGGTGCTGGATTGGCACAAACAGCACGACCGCATGCCGCGGCGCACCCACGATGGTCTTGAAGACGAGCTGGCGCGAAGATGGAGCAGGTGGAGGACCTCCGCTAACCTGGCGCCGGCCGCGCGCGGTCTGAGGATGCGCATCGACGGGCTGGCGGCGAAGACCGAGGCAGCTAAGCAGGATGACCGTCGCACTGCGCGCGCAGAGCAGGCGCTACTGATGCAGCACTTGCATTGGTGCGAGGGGAACGACGTCCACGACGAGGACCGTTGGAGGCAGCCTGCCCTGCATCGGTTTCGCGGCGGCCAGCACCCGTACCCGGGCCTCTCGAACCTATGCAACACCTGCTACCTCAACGCGCCCCTGCAGTGCCTCCTCCATTGCCCCGCCGCGCGCGCCGCGCTCCTGGGGGCGGAGGGAGAGGGCGAGCCGCTGGTCGTGCAGGACGCGGGGTGGAGGAAATTTTGTCGATAGCTTAGCTCCAGCACGGCCCCATTGTTGACTCTGGAGTTCTTCCTTCCGCAGGGGAGGGAAGACGATTGGCGCGTGGACAGGGGGGCGGGGGGCGGGGGGCAGTCGGCTTGGGTTTCACGCCCCCTCTCGAGGAGCTGCGCGCGCTGGCGACCGCCTGCGTGCGCGGGGCGCCGCCGCCCGCGGAGGACGTCGGCGGCGCCGCGCCAGCGCCAGTCCGCGTGGACCGCTGGTCCCCGCGCGCCTTCGTGGACGCGTTCCTCGCGAAGCACTGGGTGGACTTCAAGCTGGGGAGGCACGCGGACGCGAGTGAGGCGCTGTCGTTCATCCTGGAAGACGCGCCTGGTCTCGCCAGCCTCTTCCAGACCGGATGCGACGAGGAGGCCATCATGAGGCTCCCGGCATTCGTGGACGGGGCAGACGACGGCGACGACGCCCTGTCGCCGCAGGATTTCTTCCTCGACGGGGGCGCGCAGCGACTGGACGTGCGAGAGCTGCTCCGCCGCGGCGCCTCCATGGGCGGGCGACTGCGATCGAAGCCCGAGTTGCTGGCGGTCCACGTGCCCCAGAGGTGGGAGCGAGGCGACGGCACGGCGCTCTTCCTCGGCGGCTGCGACATCGCGCCCTACTGGGGCGAGCTCCCGGAGGTGGCTCTGAGGGCGGGGGAGGAGGACGTCGCGTACCGCCTGCGCGCCTACGTGCAGTACATCCTGCCCGAGGGATCGGAAGCCGCCCCATTCCGCGTCCTGAATGACCCCCAGGGCCACTTCGTGGCCCACTTCGAGGAGGACGGGAGCTGGTACACTGCAGACGACCTGGGCGATCGGCCGCACGTGGTCCAGTGGGCGCCTGGCACCCAGCACAAGCTACCCTGCATGATCTTCCTTGAGAAGGTGGACTCCAGGACGGCCCGCGCCGAGGCGTGCCCGTGGCCGCCCGGGCCGGTCGTCGACGGCGCGGAGGGCGCGGGCGGCGACGGCGACGGGGGCGCGAACGGCGAGGACAGCCCTGGCCTCGGCGGAGCGCCCGATGGGGGAGGAGGAGGGCGGCGGGGCCGACGACGCTGGCGCGCTGGGCGCGCGGAAGCGGCCCGCGGCGTCAGAGAGGAGCGGCGCCCCTGCCAGAAAGCGGCTCCGCCTCAGAGGGAAGCAGAGCGTGGCTGGGAGGCGCGACGGCCGGAGCCGCGCCGGGAGGCAGCAGAGCCGCGCTGGGAGGCATCAGCAGCAGAGCCGCGCTGGGAAGCAGCAGAGCCGCGACGGGAGGCAGCAGAGCCGCGACGGGAGGCAGCAGGGGGATAAGCAGCGTGGCTGCAAGCCCGAGGAAGTGCTCCGGCAGGGGCGGAAGCCGAAGAGCAAGGGCGACAACGCCGACGGGTCCAGGCAGGGCGCCCAGAACAACGCCGCCGCCCCGGTCCTCCGCAGCAGCAGGGAGGCGAAGAGCTTGCAGGCGGCGTGCGACGCGCGCCGGGAGTGCGGCGACCTGTTCTTGCTCTTGCACCTCCTGGAGCCGCTGGCCGCCATCGATGACCTGCTGAAGCACTACCCTGACTTCTTCGTCTACGCGGGCGACGACTGCACCCGCCGATGGGCGACGTTCCTGCAGGCACCCGATCGACCCGACCAGTTGGCTGGCAGGCTGCGGGAGGCGCTCGGGGTGACGGAGGAGGAGATTTCAGACGCCAAGCGCCGACTGGAGAGCGGGGAGGGGCACATGCACCACGTCGCGGAGCTCCTGGACGAGCGCCTGGGCTCCGCCCACGGCGCCCACTCCGTGGCGGCCGCGGTCCGCCTGGCGGTGGGCGACGGGCCGGGCGCGCTGGGCGACGGCAATCCGCTGAGGGCACACCTGGCCGAGGCGTGGCAGCGCAGACCCTGCAACCGCGGCCCGCCACGGCACGCCGCCATGCCTGCGCGCCTTCGGGATCGCTCTGAGTGGTTCCAGCGCCCCGCGCCTGCGCTGCATTATGCCTGCCGCATGTGCGAGGCCGAGTTCCCCAACAGGGAGGCGTTCAAGGCGCGCCAGGGCAGAGTCCACGGGGGGCAGCGGTGGTACCAGTCGCAGTATGTGGCGCGGTGCGAGCTGGAGCCCTACCAGCCGTCGCCGACCGAGGAGCGCCAGGTGAGCGGGCGGCGGGGAACTGCGCCCAGCCCCCGGTGACGTGCCCTTAGCGCTGGGGCTCCCGGCGCCAGCGACAAGGGCATCGAGAGCGCTGGGGGTCGTGCGGTGCTCCCCGCCATCGCTGCAGGTGGTTGCCAGGTTCCACATTTCCCAGTGCTGCGCCACCGTCGACCCCGTGGACGAGCCGTTCGTCCCGAAGCCTGAACCGGAGGTGCAGAAGCAGCTGCTCCACGCGGAGATCATCGGCAGTATCGTCGGCAAGATCGGGCAGGGGGGGCCCGCGGAGGAGATCTCCCGGCAGGCGGCCGGCGCGGCGGAGTCGGCAGCCCGCGCTCAGGCGGCGTGTCAGGCGAGGGGGCCCCGCGCTTTCCAGGCCTGCGTCTGCTGCGCCATGCAGCAGTGGTCCGAGAACCTCCACTCGGAGTACCTCGTCGGCGACAAGTGCACCATAAAGGACCGGGCCCAGTTCGCGGACTGCCTGTCGGCCGAGTGGCATCACCAACGATGTCCCCTCATACCGCGCGACGAGCTGATGTCGTCGGCCGTGGACTTCCCCCACAACGACTGCGAGGGCTCGCCGACGTCCACGAAGATACTCATGCACAAGAGGCGCGTGCCGCCCGAGGCGCTCGAAGGGAAGGTGCCGGTGAAAGTGTGCGAGGATTGCCGGAGAGACCTGTGGTCTGATCACCCCAAGGTGCCGCTCATGGCGCTGTTGAACGACCTCTGGCTGGGCCGCCACCACCCCCTGCTCAGGAAGGCCGCTCTCGCACACCAGATGCTGCTTGCGCTCGGCCGCGTCGTGTCCACGAAGATCTACCTGTCCAGCAAGGGCGCCGACAAGGCCGTCCGGCAGGAGCAGCAGTCGTGGAGGCAGAAGTTCTTGCAGTACGCCATGCAGGGCACCGCCATCGTGTTCGGGAACGGGAACGTGGACCACGCGATGCGGAGCTTCCCGCCGGAGCCCGACATGCTCAGGGACACGTTCGTGGCCGTGTTCGCGGGCGCCGACGATGACGAGGAGGGCACCCCCCTGACCGAGGAGCAGAAGCAGGAGAGGGCCCTGAGAGCCATGAGGGAGGAGGTGGCGCTGCACGTCGACAAGGCGGAGTACGACGCCCAGGCGCGGTTGTTGAAGCAGCACAACTACGTGTACAATGACCCGGGCGTGCAATGCCGATCGGACCTCGTGGACCGGTTCCCCCCGCAGCCGGGCGTGCCCGACTTCATGCTGGCCTGCGCGAAGTATGTCCCCACGGACGCGGCGTTGGACGACGTCGCGCAGGCGCAGGGGCCCGCGTCGGCCACCACCGGTGCGCAGGCAGAGATGAGCGCGGCCGCCGAGGACGCGCAGGAGCTGACCAAGTGGCTGTCCGTCCTCGAGGACCACATGGACGACGTCAGCGAGCTCACGTCCCTGCCGGCGCTCCAGGGCATGCTCGAGAGGATGGAGAGTCAGGCGGGGCGCGTTGTGGCCAACGAGCTGATGTCCAGACTCGAGGACCAGGGAGGCGAGGATCGGGCGCTGCAGCTGGACGAGATCGGGCGTCACCGCCTGCGGGACCTCTGCCAGGAGTTCCACGCGCGCTGTCGGAAGATCTCCCCTGGGGAAGACATGGCGAAGCTGCGCCGGCGCATCCAGGCGCTGGAGACCAACAACTGCCAGGCGGAAGAGGGCGCGGGCGACCTGGCGCGATCTGCAGGAGTCGCGGGGACTCCCGCCGAGGACGATCCGCGCTCCTTGCAGGAACCGCCCGGCCCAGACGGCCAGCGGAAGGCGAGGCTTCGGGTGCCCACTTCGAGGAAGGCGGAGAGCTGGTGGAATCCGAAGTACTGGTCGATTGCCAGGCCCACGGACTTCTGCTACGGGGACTGCGCCTGGGGCCTCGGCCAGCTCCCCCCTGACGGGGATGAGGACCCGCAGAGGCAGAAGGAGGCTCGGCTCTGCTTCAGCGTGGCGCACTTCATCGAGAATCTTCTCACGCGGGAGGAGATGGAGTACGACGTGCCTTCGGACGAGGAGAAGTACGTGGCGGGGCCCATCAGTCGTTTCCGGAGCTGCTGGTACGACGTGCACCTGCTGTGCTCCTTCTGGAGAGTCACGGAGACGACCAACAGCACCTACTCCTTCATGAAGACGCCCGGGGCGTTCGGGGCCGCTCGCGCCTGCGCGGACATCACGCTGGAGATGATCGAGGAGGTGCAGCTCAGGGCGCAGCAGACGGGCGGGAAGGCCACGCTGCGCGGCATCCTCAAGGACAAGGACACCCCGAACGAGGTGCGCAAGGCCTTCGCCACCCTGGGCCAGGCCACTGCCGGTCAAGTCGGGTCCGACGGACACAGGCGGGAGCTGCGCGGAGAGGGCGAGGCGTATACCCTGCGCTTCGGCCCGCCCGTCCAGTTCGTCACCCCGAACCTGGCAGACACCAAGTAGCCCCTGATCCTCATCGCGCAGGGGGAGGAGTGCACCTTCGACAACGACCTGACCGAGGCGGAGCAAGTCACGTTCAGCGAGATGTCGCAGCGCATCGCTGCGGACCCCGTGGGCCAGGCCGTAGTGTTCGAGCTGATGATGAGGCTGTTCTTCGTCCACGTCCTCGGCCTGCGCCCGGAGACCGTCGGGTGGCGGCGAGGAAAAGTTCGAAAAGCTTCGGAGCACTGGATCTCCGACGGCGTGGCGGCCGACCTCATGGGCGTGCCCACGGTGTTCGGCCCCCTCGCGGCGGCCTTCGGTCCGGTCGAGGCTCAGGGCCGCGGCTCGCTGCACCCGCACATCCTCATCTGGCTGCTGCAGGGTCAGCTGCGCGTGCTCTTGGACATGCTGCAGCGCGACGAGGCGCGCTTCCAGGAGCGCTTGAACCTGTGGATGCGGCAGGTGGTGCAGGCCGTGGTCGCCACTCAGCAGAGCGCCGTGGAGCTGCTGCCCCTGCAGCTGCAGGGGGGCGAGAACAAGTGCGGGGTCGAGGTGCCGCCGCTGCCGTTCGGGCCCAACGAGAAGCGGTATTTCAGAGCCGACGGGGGCGCGGAGATGGCGACTGCAGAGCAGCTCGGGGACGGAGGCGAGACGGAGCCGCAGGAGCTGTAGTTCTACGAGCCCAAGGTAGACGACTACCACAGGGCGATTCGCCCCGATCTGCCGCTGCGCAACAACGGCGGCGAGATCTTGGACGACGTTGCGGCGTGGACAGAGCAGAGGGCCGCGGAGAACAAGGGGTACTGGCGGCGGCCGCTCTCCAGCAGCGCCTCCGGCATCTTCCCGAGGTGCCGCGGCGGGGGCACCCTGGCGGAGTCTCTCCCGAGCGAGGAGTGGATTCGCGAGATGTGCCGCGACGTGCGCGAGCTCGTCATCGGCTGCGGCATCCACGTCTGCAGCCCCTCCTGCTACAAGTGCCATTCCGACAAGACGCGCGGCTCGCAGATCTGCCGCCACAGCTTCTACAACCTGGTGACATTGTGCACGTGGACCGAGGGTGAGGACTCCCGAGAGTGCCGACTCCGCACGCGCGGGAAGGCGCTGCGCGGCTGCATCGGCATATTCCGGGAGACGGACTACGGCGTGGCCGGGCGCATCGTCACCTTCCAGCTCCACCCCGGGGAGACCTCCACGAAGTACGCGGCGCTCGTCTCGGCGCGGTGCAACGTGGACGTGCAGGACATGAGACGGGTGCTGCCCCCGCGCCTGTGGATGGATGCGTCGGAGCTGGAACCGCCGGCGAACGAGGAGGACCGCAAGAGCTACAACCATGGCCTCTACCCTCAGCGCTACGCCGACTTCTCGGTGGGCGCCCGGGAGGACTGGGGATGGTTCCAACATCTGAACACCACGCCCGCGGAGAAGTGGGACCTCGTCGTAGTCACCGACTGGCACGGGATCTGCAGGGAGCTCGCGAACCGCGGCAGCCCCGCCGTGCACGGTGGAGACGCTGCGCGCGCCGATCTCCAGCGCGACCTGGAGCGGCACGCGCTGGCCACCTTCGTGGACGCCCACAACACGAGCTACTACGTCAACTAGTACACCACGAAGGTGAACCCCGGTATGGACGACGCGCTGCGCAAGCTCCTCGACGGCGTACGCCGCCTGAAGAGCCAGCGGGGCGACAGGGAGGCGCAGGCCGCGGGCGACGCCGGCGACGAGGCCCAGTCGACCGCTGCAGGAAAGCGCAAGGATGATTTCAAGCGCACGCTGCAGGTGCTGGCCCGCTTCGAGACCTGCTTCCGCAGGGCCTCCTGGAAGAGCGGCAGCGAGATGGTCTTCCCCATGCTCTTCGGGCACCTCTCCTTCATGACGCACCGTTGCTGGAAGGTGTTCATGCGGAAATCCATCTACCTCGCCGCGGAGTCCTGGCGCAGGCGGTACGGCCAGGCCGACACCGCGGAAAGCGCACCCGCCGCCTCGATCACGTACGCGGTCCCCGGCACCGGAGAGCAGGTCGCGATGCCAGGGTGGCGCGAGGTGCAGCGCGAGGGCGAGACGGTGTACGTCAGCCCCGACGGCGAGGAGTTCGACACGATCGAGTACGCGCACCAGGCGTTCCAGATCGCGAACGCCAGCGGCAGCTCGCTGCGCGACGTGACGAAGGCGCTGAACAAGTTGCGGGAAGGCGAGGCCGAAGAGGTGCCCGAGGCACCGGGGCCGACTGTCGAGGGCCCCGCGCAGGGCAAGTCCAGGGGCGCAGTGCTGAGCCAGCACGACGACTGGATGCACCGCGGAGACCACCCTATTGTCCGAGACATGAGCTTGTACGTCTACAGCATCTGGGTGTACCGCGTGGAACTGCCGCTGCATGCCCTTCCGGCCGGGGAGCTGGATCACGAGGGCAGCGGGGGTCGCACCCTGCACGTCGACATCGCCTTCGACTCGTCCTACACGGCGGCGCGGAACTGGACGCAGAGGCTGGCCGTCGAGCCGCGCATCCCGAAGGCCGAAGGCTTCCAGTTCGTCAGCGCGGAGTCGAACGTGGAGACGCACTACCTCATGAAGTCGGTGCTGCTTCGGCCAGTGCACCTGCCGGACGCCGACGGTCCCAACGACACGAAGGAGCTGCGCTACCTCCGCGCGTACGAGCACCTGTGCGCAGCGCCGGAGGGCGAGCCGGAGTGGCCGGCGCAGCCGGCGGGGGAGGGCGTGGCGGGCCCGTTCCAGCGCGGCTGGGAGTCGTTCGCCACCGCCCAGGAGCAACTGGCGAAGACGGCCCGGGCGAAGTGCCTCAGGAATGACGTCGGGTCGTGGGCGACGCCCAGCATCTGGAACACGGAGGAGGTCGAGTCCGCGCTGCGCGAGAAGCGCAGCGACCGCCGCGAGGACGTGCAGCCTCCGTGCCAGTGCGCCCAGTGCGCGGAGCTGGGCAACTGGCTGGACAGCATGCTGACGGTGCAGAAGTACCTGGCCCTGGAGACCACGAAGGCCGCGGCCAACTTCGACGGCATCTCCAAGGCGAAGGCTTCGAAGCCGAAGAGGCCGCAGAAGGACGACGTCCAGGTCGCGGAGGCCCCCGTGTTCCGGGAGGGCGCCGAGGATTCGGGGGCGGGCGCCGCGCAGGTGGAGGCCCAGGGCATCCGCGCTCAGGACGGCTTCGCGAAGCTGGGCGCCAACGTTGTCCTGGAGCATCACTTCGACCCCGAGACGCTCGGGCAGATCTTGCGCTTCGACACCGCCGAGCGCGCGCAGGCATTCGTGAAGGAGCTCAAGAAGGCCGCCACGATGATGGAGAACGGCGCGCTGCCCGGGCCGACTGACGCCGACGCGCCGCGGCGTGCTGCCCGCGCCCTGAAGGAAGACGTCCTCGCGCCGTTCAGGGCTTTGCGCGACCTCGACGCAGAAGAGCTGAAGGACCTGGTGGAGACCCAGCGAAAGAGGTTCGCCAAGGGGGGCACGAAGGACGCGGACGTGCCCGCGGACGACGCCCCCGCGCCGGACGACGTCGGGGCAGCGGGTGCTGGCGCGATGCCGGCCGAGGCGGCGCAGGCGCGGTGGGAGCCGTCGAAGGAGTTGCAGCGGCCCAGCGACCTCGTCAAGCGCCTCGTCAAAAAGTTCGAGGACCGCGTGGTCAACCCGATCACGGGGAAGCAGGAGCGCCGCCCTCTGAAGCCCGACCAGGCCCTGTTCGTCACGGCGTTCGCGAACGCCTGCAACGTGGTGTGGGGCGAGGAGCAGAAGATCGAGGACGGCAGCATGGCCAAGCACGCGAAGCGGAAGACGTTCCAGTTCCTGCTCCTCGGCCAGGGCGGCAGCGGGAAGACCGCCATGGTGCAGGAGATCGTGCTGCCGGCCATGGACGCGCTGTTCCCTGTGGAAACGGGCAAGGCGAAGTCCACGCTGATAGTCTGCGCGAAGTGGTCTCAGGCCGCGAACATCTCCACGGACGCTCACAAGGCCGTCATTTGCCACCGGGCGGGCGTCATAGGAGTGCAGTCCTTCAGGAACAAGGACATACCCGCGGGGGGCAAGCTGAAAGCGCTGCAGGACACGTGGGAGGCGGTCAGGTGCTTGATCCTGGAGGAGGTGAGCATGATCTCGCCCAACCTGTACAACATGCTGGCGTTCCGGTCCTACCTGGGGCGCAAGGCCGAGTGGGGCGCGGAGGAGCGGGAGCACGACCAGGTCGGCGGCGCCTTCGGCCGGATGCCCATCGTGATCCACCTGGGGGATTTCCTGCAGCTGAAGCCGACTGGAGGCAAGGTGTCGCTCATCTCCAGCTTCGAGGAACTGGCGGCGGCGGGCATCAACCTCGCTCCAGAGTACCAGGCAGTGATGAAGCTCTTCTGCAACACGCCGCTGTGCTTCGAGCTCCAGGCGTCCAACCGCTTCAAGGACACCAAGCTCCGAGATCTCATGGCGTTCCTGCGCAAGCCGGGGAAGCAGGTCCCTCCGGCCATCCGAGCCACGTGGAACGCCATGCAGCTGAAACCCGATGATCGCCGGCTCCGGGAGGAGAGGTTCCAGAACGGCCACATGATCGGGTCCTACTGGGACACCGTGGCGCGCTGGATGAACATGCGAGCCCAGCGGGACGCGGACGTCCTGAAGAAGCCCCTCTTCCTCGTGCAGGCCGCCGACAGGTCTGCCCCGACGATGAACGTCAAGGACGCCGCCAAGATGATGAACTGTGCCAACCCGAAGAACACCGGTGGCATGCACGGACTGGACTGCTCCCGGTGCACGTGGGCATGCGGATCCGGCTCCTGGAGGCGCTCGACCTCAAGAACGGCCTCGTCAAGGACGCCGAGGGGCAGATCGTGCGCATCGTCGTGGGCCCCCGGGATCGGGACGGCGTCGAGAGAGCAGAGAGAGACGGGGAGAAGAGGATCTACCTGAAGCGCTTGCCGTTGGGGTTCTGGGTGCGCATGGAGAAGTACGCGAGCGCGCCCTTCGTGGACGACCTGAAGCGCCACGACGACAGCCTCACGAGGGACCTCGCGGGCCCGCTGGTGTTCATCAAGCCCCGCACGTCGGAGCCGTTCACCTTCCGCACCTCCAAGGTCACCCGGACGGGCTTCCCGTTCTCGCACGGCAGGGTCATCACCACGGTGGCGTGCCAGGGGCGCACCATGCGAGAAGGCGACGGGGCGGGGGAACGGCGCTCTGGGGACGGCCAGACCTCCGGGGTGCGAGCAGTCCACGGCCAGACCTCGGTCCTGTGGCCTCTCGCCGCCCTGGGCCGTCGGCTGCCCGGCGCGCTGCTCCCTCGGCCGACGTCGCCCAGGCGTGATCCTCGACTGCGGCCGCCACGAGGTCGGGAACGGCAAGAAGGAGGACGACGACTGGTGGCTGGAGCTCTACGCGCTGCTCTCGCGCGCCACGCGCCACGAGGACCTCCTGCTCATGCGGGCGCCGCGCATCGAGTTCTTCCTGGCCGGGCCGCCGGGGGGCTTGCGTAAGCAGCTGGGGCAGTTTGCGGCGCGCACGAAGCGGTGCAGGAGGGATGCCACGGCCATCGCCAGGGAGCTCGGTTTCACCGAGTTTATCCGCGAGGCCTGCCCTGGGGGGCGTCTCGCCCGAGCCGCGCCTTCTCTCGACTGTCCAACTACTTGTCTGGCTTCGCGCTGCGGACGACCCGCGCGCGTCGCTGGGACCCTTCCGGGGCGACCAGCGCGCGTCGCGGGGATTCCGTGCGGCGCTCTGCCCAGCGCCTCGCTCGCCCGTCGTCGCTCTGCCCAGCGGCCGGAGCCTTGCCCGCAATCGGCCAGCCGGCTAGCTCTCTCTGCTCCGCGCAGCGGACGACCCGCGCGCGTCGCTGGGACCCCTCCGCGGCGACCTGCGCGCGTCGCGGGGACTCCGCGCTGCGCTGCGCCCGCAGCCTAGGACTTTGGAGTGCGCGGGCAAAAAGAGAAAGGAAAAGAAGAAAAGCGGGCGCTATCCTCGCGGGGGGTTGTGCCGACATGGGCGTCGCGGCGTGCGGGCGCTGCCATTGGCATTTCTGGGGGGGCCCCTTGCGGCGGCCACAGTCAGTGTCACAAGTACTCGGAGCCAGTCATATTCAAACCGTTCACAGTCATATACAATTACGCTGAGCTTAGCCATGCTCCCATGCATACACATAGACTCGCTCGCGCGCAGACTCATGCACAAACAGACGCACTCGCGCTCAGACTCATCCGCGCTCAGTCTCTCGTACTCAGAACTATAATCTTCGTTCGCGTTGTCTGCCCCCCCACCACCCCAACCCACCCCGCACACATTTCGGCACACCGTTCATGCGGTTCGTGGCCCCATAGGGAGCGCCACCGAGCAATATATCCACCATTGCGGTATTCACAACTACGCATGGTTGGGTCCTTCGCCTTTTTTTTTTATATATATATATATATATATATATATATATATAAGCCCCCATTGAGCCCCGGAGGCCGCTACGACGCCCCAAGAAGCTTTCCAAGGGAGCCCCGAGCGCCCCAAATCATTGATTTTGTGTTGGAATACGTGCGTTTTTAGCATCTACGTCTTTTCGGTCTTCACGGCGTGCACGACGGTACAAGTGGCCCCAAAAACGGCCCCAAGAGGTTACCAACGCGGCCCAAGGCAGCCCGAGGGGCGGCCAAGGCGTGGCCAGAGGGCCCCATGAGGCCCCCAAAACGTTCCACGGCGGCCCCGGAGCGCTCAAAGCTAGCCCGTGGACGCCCAAGACGGTTCTCACAATGCCCAAGGGACCGCGAGGACGCCCCAAGAGGCCCCCAAGAGGCTTTACAAGAGGGCCCCGAGAGGTCAAAATCATTGATTATGCATAGGAAAACGCAAATTCTTAGCATCTACGACTTGTCGGTCTTCACAGCGGCGACGACGGCACAAGAGGCCCCAACAGAGTCCCGAAACGGTCCGAGAGGCTCCAAAGACGTCCCGAGAGGGAGCCAAGACCCCAAGAGGTCCCTAATACGACCTGGGAGAGCTCCAATACGGTTCCAAGAGGAGCCCAAGAGGGGGGCCCGAACCGATAATCCGACCCATCCGCCCAAGGAGGTCCCAGGAGGCCCCTAGGAGGCTCCAAGGGCCCCCCAAGAGATCCCCCCTATAGGCCAAACCCAACAGGGGTTTATGGAGGGGGAGATTCTGATACGCCAAGAGACCCACAAGGGGTCGGCGGCCCCAGGCCAGCTCGGTGCAAGTGTGAGCGGCATGAATCGTTGCATCTCGCGGTGAACATCGGTGCCGGGAGCGCATCCAAAATCCGGGATCCTCCTCCCCCCTCCTTCCGTCCCTTCCCTCCTCTTCCTTCCCCACTCCCCCCCCTCCTCCTCCTCCACTCCCCCTTTTTCTCTCTCCCCTTCCTCCCTTCCTCCCCTCCCGTTCCACCCCCCCCCCTCTTTCCTTCCCGCCCTCCCTCTCCCCCCTCCCGCCCTTCCCCCCCCCCCCATTCCGCCCCCTTCCCCCCTCCTCCCTTCCGCGAGCCCCGCTGCCCTGCGCCGAAGTTGCGCCGCGTAGACTGCGCCGCGCGGGCTGTCAACTATATTGCACCGCGGAGGTTGCACCACAAAGCGTGCACCACATATATATACACACATACATACACACATACATACATACACACATACATGCAATCATACATATATGCATTCATGCATACGCACATACCATA